ACTTGATAAAAAAATTGAATTTGTTAAAAATAGATTTTAGAACAGAAAGGTTAAATATCCTTTTAATTATCTATTCTTTATTCTATTATATTGATTGATTAAACCTTTTTTTTCGTTGTGATATCAGTAAAATTTGAAATTTATCAAGATTGTTAAAATATTAAAATATTTTCTAATTAATTTAAGATAATAGATAAGTAAATTATCGAATTTTATTGTATTTTTTTTGTAAAAGTAGTATAGATATCAAAATAGAAACTTTTAATTTGGTCAGATTATTGTTCTGTGTAGTTGTAGAAGTTTTATACATAGAAAAGTACAATGATGACTTTAAGTAAACTAAGTTAAAAAAAATTGTTTGCAAATTTCGCAGCGGGAAAAAGAATGAAGTAAAAATATTTCTTGCGATTAGAAAATAGACAATTAAATAAGTTAAATTTTGGTCTTTGTGGCCCTATTTCAAATGAATTTCTTATTCAATTGTTTTATTTTTCCTCAATATCAAAATTAAAATTTAATAGAAAAAGTTTTTTTTAAGGCTTTACTCATGACTTTTTCATGATTCAGAATCCGATAGAAATGATTTTCAGAAAAGCCCCCGAACAAAATTTGCAGAAACTTTTAAGACCTTCTCATAAGAATGTACTGATTGTTTGAGAATACTATATGCGCCAGCTTGTTTTTGGGAATGGCAACCTGGCGAAATCAATTTGAAAAAAGTTGTAGTATCAAAGAAATTTTCGAAACACACCACATGACTATATCATTGTTACTTTTTTTTTTAGTCTCTTAATGGAACTTGGTATAAGATGCACCCGTTCCAGTGGGTCAATCTCGCTAATTTGCCATTCCAATTTGCATGTCGTGAAAGTTAGCATTCGTGCCGAGTTTCAAGTCTCTTGAAATAACCAGAGAAAAGTTCAATGCTGTCACTTAATGCGAAAAGAAATCCTTCTTAAAAACTTGTGTTTTAAATTCTTAATATCATTTTACTCTTAATATCCTCTTAAACACTGATTTTTGCTTCATTATTAAAGAATTTTCACTTTTAGTTGATAAACTCTCTATGTACTCTCTCAAGTACTGTCTGTTTTCAAGAATTATAAATAAATGAGCCGATTAAATCACCTTATAAGCAAATATTTTAATGTCGTTATAAATTAATTTTAAATATTTAAAAAAGACTTACACTTTTATTAATCGATTAGAATTGTTAGAAACTTAAGGAAACATTATTTATTACTTGTATTTCCACTATTTAGACAATAAACTTAATGTAAATATAAAAAGTTTCAAATTAAATTGTCAACTAAACAAATTTATTTATGCCTAATGTCCATTTTCAAGGTTATGGTTCTAACATAGAGAAAAATATTATATTACATCCTTACTTTATGTGTCGCGAACATTGTGTTATCAAAAAAAAAAATTAAATGGGGAAAACTAACATTAAAAGCTAAAATCAATAATTTCTTTTACATGGGAACAACGATGGAATTTGTTATTATGGACAATATGAAATTTTGTAAAAACTAAAAAAACTTTCATAATTACATGAGTTTTTTTTATGTTTAAAAAAAGTAGTAAATGTTGCGACAGTTATTCTCAAACTTTAAAATTTTAGTATTGAAGATGTGAAGCATGGTGCGTGTGTAGCTTGTATGAGATTTATCTGAAATCGATAGTGAACTTCTGCTTTAGAGTTTTGTAATATTTGTAAGGAGTTTCAATATTTATCAAATTGGTCTCTAACGTATAAAATTTAATTACGATATTTAATAACGAAAATAAGGTATTAAAAATATAAAGAAAGTTATAAAGAAAATACAAAAATAAACTATGAAAGAGTTTGCAAAATATTTTATTTAGGTTAGAATTTATTGGATGAGTTTAATTATATTGTGCTATATTGAATTCGTATTGAAACAAAATTTACAGCAAAATAAAAATTCAAACCTATTTTATTCTTCTGAATTCGAAAAAATTACAATGAAAACTAAAAATAGTATTTAATTTTAACTTGAAAACAAAGAAGAGAATGAACAAAGCATATTTATAATAATGTCAAGTATTAAAAGTAAAATTTGTAAACAGAAAACGTTTCTTTTCTTTGTAAGAAAGTAATTATTAAAATTAATTTATTTCCACTTAAGGCAATTTAATTATTTAAATAATTTGCTGTAGAAGATATTGTTATAATACTCGTAGATTCTTTGAGATGTTTTTATTATGGTATATTTTTACGTTTTTTACGGTAATGCTAACTCAGCAATTAACTCGCAATTTGCTTCAAAATATCTCAGAATGTTTCTTCAGAAACTTTTAAAGTGTTAGATTTTAAGGTAAATATGAAGAAAGAATGGTAAAAATGAGTATTCTTAAAAATGAAGAACGTTTTTCGGATATTACGTATCTTACTTATTTCAGAAACATGACAATAAGTGAAATATGTGTAAAATTGAATCACTTTGCTTTTAAAGGTTGACTAATTTGGATGATACTATAAATTTTATAATAAATTTTTTCCATGGTGTAATGACAAAAAACTACAAAAATCGACTTTAAAAAATGAAAATTGTGATTTGAAAGTTGGTTGCAAATGCAGCCTTATTCTAAAAGAAGTCGAGATTGGCGTTAATAATTATGAAAATGCTGTAAAGCTATTATCTACAAATATATGCTATATGCGCGGGATAGTTTTGTAAATGACGTTTTCAATTGCGGACATATGCAATAAAGTCTTTATAATTAGAAATGCATATACTTCATTTCTAAAATAGTTTAAAATAAAAGTTTGAGAACGACTAATCGCATTATAACTATTTGCACAATAACGACATGTACCATACCTCAATTCTTGCGTTAATTTTTAACAAAATTTAATATAAATTAATGGCAGTTAAGTTTTTTTTAATATTTTATATCTAAATTATTTTGGAATAGCCAATATATTCAAGACAGAAAACTTGTAATATTTAGGTGTTTTACATATATAAACTATATTATACATGTATCGAAATCTATAGTATGAAAAATTGTTTTGTTTGGAGTTCGTGTCTCATATTGTACATGCAAAATATCAATGTAAAAAGATTACAATAGTAAATAAATTACAATATAATTGTCTATTTTATTATTATTTTTTTTTAACTTAGCAAAATTCAATACTTTTCAAGATCCTTTTATATTTTGTTTATCAAAAATGTAAAAACTTAATAAGTTTGTAAAGTAAATTTAGTTGTCCTTTTAACTTCTATTGAAAATGATGCCATTTTAATTTGTAAACATTAAAAAAAATTGTTCGTTGTTAAATTTCTTTATTTATTTTAATAAGATAAACAGTTGTAGTATAGAATTTATTTGAAAAATTTATTTGAATAACAAGAAATATTTACAAAGGAAAAGTTAATTTATACCAGAAATTTTATTTTTATTTCAAAAGATGTCGTTTACAAATGATTCATACACCTTTGGTTGGTATGTAATTTTTTATTGAAAATATTTGAATTGTTAAATTAAAAATTTATAACAATGTAGTTACGAATTTTTCGTTTATTGATTCTGTAATAGTGCATTTTGGTAACAATTAAACTGAATCTCATTATAGCTCTATTATCTCATAAAAATTACTCATAAAAATTATTAAAAAAAAATTGAATTATTTTTAACGTACTTTGAAATTTTACAAGATCAGGCAACTTTATTTAATTAAGAGCATTGCCAGCTATTTTTCATAGGTTTGTATTGTGCATTTTCATTACTTATGCTAGAAATTATTATAGTATCACATATTGTACGAGTATTTCTTATAATAAGCATAAATGAACTCAAAGTTAAAATCTTTTCATATAACATAAATATTACATTACCAGATTTGTAGAAAAATGTGTCAATTATTTTACATTCTCATTTCGTTTAATAATTAATGTTATTTATTCGAGTTTTTCCCGAATATTTTATTTTGGAACTTTTTTGAAGAAAATATAAATTTTTTCTTTGGGCCTTTCACTGTTAGGTGAACGAACAAAGATCAACATTTAAAATAATATGCGGCAGAAAGTTAGCCTAACATTATAAGAGCAATATAATAAACAATAAGAAACTCTTTATTCCCAAATTTTAAAGTATCACGAATATGCCAATAGTTTCAGTAATGGAGTAAGGGAAAAAATTGTCCCAAAACGTTTCTATAATTTTTAATCTTTTGAAATATGACAAAATTTTTCTGATTTATAAATTTTGTGCATTTTGTATTTGCTTGCAGATAATATTAACACATAAAAAATATATTCATTATAATTTTGTCCATATATTATATTTTCTTGTTTTGAATTGCATAGTTTTAGGAGGAATATTATAAAAAGTTAAATAGAACAGTTTTGATGTGATACAGACTAGTGACTTCGAAATTGTTATATAATAGACTTATGGTTTTTTAAATTGCCATTTTTTTTTTAATTTGAATTTTGAAGGATTTTGTTGATTAAAAATTCCAATTCAGTAGATGAAAGTATTATAAATAGTTTTAACTACGAGTTGAAACGTAAAGTAGAGTATAATTTAAAGTTTTGCATTACAAAAATTCAGGAGATTATATGAAACAATAAATTTATTTGCAGCATAGCAATTTTTTGTTGAAATAAGACTAGTTTTTTTTTTTGAACTTTTAAATTTTCAATTTGATGAAAATTCGAGGTTTTCTAATACCATTTTGATACAGTAAAATATTCTGAACAATAAATTTCATAAAATGTATTTCATACTTTTGAGTAATTTAATATTGAAAATATTGCGATGACTCATCATCATCTTTCACATATTTGAAATAATGGAAAAATACTAATTAGGTACTTTAGTATAAAAGTAAATTACTCATATATAAATTTTTTCATTCTATGCTTGAACGTTAATCATACATGTCTGTTTTATGATTTTATCGCTCAATATAATATTATATAATTAAATTAATCATAATAAAATAAAAAAAATTCATTTTAAAGGAGTATGAATGAAAAAATCGGTGGATCAAATGTACCGGATCTTGATGATGTTGATTATTTAGAAGATGGTGAATTGGCACAGCATTTTCAAAGGGTATCTATATCTGGTGAAGATACAAGCGGTGTACCATTAGAAGATTTAATAAGAGCATCATCTTTGTTAATTGAGGCACTTGAATTACGTGAACGTTATATGAGATGGTCACAACAAAGTTTTCCACGAACAACAACTAGATTTTTAAAATCAGTACATGAAAAGGGTCGTATTAATATTGAAGAGCATTCGAATAGAAAATCAATAGCTGGTAAGATTGGAAAAATATGAAAAATATTAAATAAAAAATTTATAAAGTAATACTTATAACTATATAAAATAATGCAATTTATAAAAATTTATAAATATTTTTTTTTTTCAAATGAGAAGTTTACATGAATATCACGAATTCAATAAAGTTTTCTTTTTTATTGTTCTATACAAGTATTGAGAATGCACCCACCTTTTCAAAAGACATGATTCCAAATTAATGGTGGTTTAATTTGAAAATGTTTTTTTTTATTTTAATTATTTTTGTTAAAATTTTTTTTTTTATTTTTTTTGAGAATTCCTTATTTTGTCATACATAGTGTTTTTCTTGGTTTAAAGCGTTAAATACATGCAATTGTAAGTACTAGAATATATAAAAACTATATAAGTAGGTACATTAAGTATGCATATATACACATATAGGTAATTGAAGCGTGAATTTTGGGATCACATACAAATTTTGTTTTGTTCTTTTTTAGTGTTTTAATTGCACACAAACTTTTGGAAATTGCACATTATTAATGCAATGGTTTTATAAAATAAGTGCAAAAAATCTAACCCTAATTACAATTTTTATACTTTAAAGTAATGAATAAAAATATAGTTGGTTTTTATAAATTTTCAATTTTTCAAACTCGTTTTTATAAAATATCGCATATTGTAGTTCAACGCATAGTGTTATGAATTGAACTATAAATTCAGAATGAATATTGTGATACATTTGCCTTATATGTTTTAATTAGTAGAAGGGAAATAAATATCATAATATTCATTTGGAGTCCCAATTTAGAACAATTAAGTTCTACAATATGGAAACGATTTTGAAAAATTATTGATTAGGTCACTTTTACTTTCACCCCAACCCGCCAATTATAACTGAAAGATTTGAGAAAATTAAAGATTGTCGCAACAGTGACGATGCAGTGCAAAAATTTTGGTATAAAAATTATATTTTGTATAATAAATATTATAATTATGTATAACATTTTTATAATCCAATTATTTGAAGAACTCTTATGAACTTCAGATAAATTTAATAAATTTAATGAATTATACCCTGCACCTTTCGTTATTGTGTAGCAATTACTCGAAACTCTAAAATCATTCTATAGAAACTTCACGGACATGTCTGACCTATAATTGGACATCCGACTACCAAGTTTCATGAATCTGACCTTATAATTTTTCCAAATATTTAAAATTAGCTTTTGGAGTTGTATGGTAAGTACCTGAACCTACCAAGCAATTCCACCAAAACTTCACAAATATATCTGATCTATAATCGAACGCACAACTGCCAAGTTTCATGAATCTGACTTTATTATTTTTCCAAATATTTAAAATTAGCTTCTGGAGTTGTATGGCAGGTACCCGAACCTGTCAAGCGATTCCTCTAAAACTTCAGAAATATATTTGACCTATAATTGGACACATGACTGCCAAGTTTCATGAATCTGACTTTATTATTTTGCCGAATATAAAAAATTTGCTGTTGGAGTTGTATGGCAGCCACCCGAACCGGTGCAGCTATCCCATTATAATTTTTAGAGCATGTGTAGAATATATACACATGTATACAAAACTTTATATTTATAGCTTTATTAGTTTTTGAAATATTTAAAATAAACTCTTGGAGTTGTATGGCAGCTACCCGAACCCGTTGTCCGACTTAGTCCAATAACAATAGGGTTCGTCCTTGGCGCAAACGAAAAAACTTGTGAAAGTTTGATGTCGATTGCATTATTTGTTTTTGAGTTATCGTGCGATCGGACGGACGGACGGACATGTCTAAATCGACGCAGAATTTTACGCTGAGCAAGAATATATATATATGTCCATACCGCAGATGACTCCTTCAAATAGTTACAAACTCCATACCAAAGTTAATATACCCTTCACGAAGTGCAGGGTATAAAAAAAAAACAATTAAAAATAGGTATGAAGATTTAATGATAATATGGAAAATTGTTTATTAAATATGTAAGTAATTCAATATACAAGAACAGCTAAAATTATTATTGCTTAATTCCTTAAATTAATAATCAAATTCAAATAGTTTGGAATGATTTATGGAAAGCGAAACTGTAATAATTTTATACCTAAAATTTTTAACCGCGTACCACATGCTTGAAGGCCAACTGTTACCAATTAATAAATTTCTTTGCAAAACAAAATGTCAACAAAAATATAAAAAGTTGCAAAGCATTATTGGTGGCATGTTAAGATTATTTTTACGAGTTACATTGTTGTTAGCGTTATTGGTAAACCAAAAATAACCAGTTGTCATGCAATTAGAATAACTGATTGTTGACGTAATCTAATGATACAGAAAAATTAAATTTATTTAGATACATATATTATATTACCGTCAGCATTAATACGAAGTTTTCAATTTTGGAAAAATAAATTTTTTAAAGTCTGTCTAATATCATACTTTAAAATTAAAAATTCAGTGCTAATTAGCTAGTAGGCTTTTGGTCTTCTTTGTACATATTACATTTTTCAAAATTTTTAAGTAATGTTAAAAATTGTATGTAACGCAAGAATTTAAATTAGAAACACTATGTAACGAAAAGTAAAATGTGAAAAAAAATTTAATTCATTTTTTTTTGTATATTTTTTTTTGTAAATTTTTTATTTTTTTAGAATTAATCCGCAAGATCAGTCTACCCAGCATAGAAATAGAGCTTAAAGGTAATTCGTCTGTTGCTCTTCAGCGGGCGGATCATTTCATTTTCATAAAAAGAAAATCTTTGTTTGTTTTTTTATAATTTGTTACTTTGTTTTTAATTTTTAATAATTTCCTAATTTTATTTATAATTATTTTTATTTATTTTTTTTTTATTTGTTATTAAAAATTTGTTACTATTTGTTTTCTTTCATTTTTTTTAATTATATAAAATTTGATTGTATAAAATTTGTTGTTAAAATATTAGATTAAGTAAATTAAGTTCACAGTATACCTACATAAGATAATTCAAACATTGCCCTGTTGCCGATGACAATTTTGGGTAACGTGCAACTGGGTCCTTTTATGTAACAAGCACGGCAATATTTTTAGTTTTCTTATGCAATATTATGCATTAAGAACAATACGATTTTGTTTTATTTTTATTCTCAAGCCTTGAAAGTTTTTTATTTAGGTATTTCTTTACGATATTTATTCTATTTTCTAAAAAGTAACGCGAGGCAATATTATTTTTCCGCTTTCTTGGAATTGATTTACATATTTCCAATTCAATTCGTAGCCATTTTTTTAAATTGTTGTTATTTTGCAGATATTAAAACTACTTAATTATAAAGAAATCTTTGTTTAAAAATTTTCTATTTAAATGTACGTCTAATGTCTAATCTAATATGTATTACTTAATTTACAATAGCAATTGTATTATAGTTTTGTTTTTTGAATTGTTGTCTTATGTGCAATTACATATTAGTTGAATAACCCAGAAATATTTAACAAAAAAAAAAAGTTGTTTGAAAACCATTTTTAATAAGAAATTTCTATATTTTTCCTTAATTTGTAGGACGCTCAAATAGTTTACAAGGAAACAGAATAGGGACAAGTATGTATTACGGAACTCATTTCAAACTTTCATTTATTTAATGTACTAATGTTCTTCTTTATGTGGTAGTGACAGTTTATGTCGTTTCCAAACAATTTAAATGTTGAGACGTTTTCTACTGCAACCCTGGAAAAGTTTCAAAATTTTCTCGAAAAACTAAAAAAATCCAAATTAGTTTTTAAAATTTTATGCAATCAAAGTATAATTTTCTTTTTTATATAATTTTTTTTTATTATTTTCTGCCTTTAAAGTTATTTAACTTTGAATTTGAATACTCGTAACATCTTTATACAATTGGAACTTCTTTATAAAATTTTTTTTTCAAAATTCAAATTTTTTAAATAATTTGCTTCAGTTGTTTAGAAATCTGTTAGAAACGTAGAAATCTGTTCATGGATTCTGTTCATTTATTCTAAATTTTTATTTACATTTCTTTTTAAGTTCTTGGCTCTGACTTGCGTGTCATGACTGTTCAATTTTGATATTAAGAATCTCATATCTTCTTTATTAATTTCAAATTGATCAGTTTATTCTCAAGAGATTAAAAATTATGATTGAAAACTGATTGAACTTTACACAGCGGTAAAATCTTTATTGATGATTTTTGAGGTTAAACTAAAACTGTTGTTTTTTTTTTCTATCAGAACTATTGAATTTTTCTAAATAATTGTAACTTATAAAATAATATTTGTAATAAATCATATTTTCGCCAATATTTTATGTCATTATATTAAAATACATAAAAACATTTTTATATGTACAAATGTAATTTTAAAAAAATTATTAAGTTTGAAAAATTAAATCCAGAAATGCGAATTTGACCCGTTCCTGGTATTTTGTCTTTATTGTATTTTGACTAATAAACTCATATAGCTTTTATTAGAAGTGTTCGCATTTATAAGAGCTTAAAAAATTATTATACAAAAAAAAAACATTAAAGATATTTTTTGCTTCTAAGACTGGAAATAAAATCAATGAAATTTTAAAATTTTGTTTTTTCTAATTTTAGAATATCCAAGTGATCCACCGCAAGAAACTGCTGAACATTGGGATATTGAATTTGGATCAGATTTAAATTATACAATTCGTTCTGTTGATGGTGTTTTTCATGTATACAAAGATGAGGTAAATGGATCAATTTGAGCTTAACTTTTAAAATCCTATTTAAAATTTAAGTGTTATTAAGTGTTAAAACATTGTCGAGTGACTCTTTTAATGGATAAATTTTTTAAAAAATTTTAACTTTGAATTTCAAAGAATTTCATCAACAAAAGATAAATATTTAAATTTAACAAAAATTAATAAAAGTAAGATGTTTTCTTTTGATTAAAGCTGTAATTCCGAAATTATCGTGCGATTACTTAGGTGCCCAATATAAAAAGCTGTGAGATGTTCTAAAAACGCATTTAAATTAATTCACACCGTTATTGTCAATATGTGTTTGCTATTGTTTTTAGAATCATTTGTATTTCGGAAATGTATGTAATCCCAGTAACAAGTACAAATCTATAAATAAGTGCAGTTAAATAAGCATCTTTCTTGATGTTTCAACAATAGACAGCTAGATGAACAAATAAAATATACAGACAAACAATTTTACAGACATATAAACTAATAATTAAAAAAAATTGAAATGGACTAACATAGCTAATTCGAATTAGAACTCGACTATGACTTAGTATAGAGCAAGAATATTAGGTTTCGGAAAGGGGTTTCTTCTTGATATGACATACACAGCTAATTCCAATTAAAACTCGACTATGACTTAGTATAGAGCAAAAATATTAAGTTTCGGAAAGGGGTTTCTTCTTAATATGGCGACGTTACAAAATTAATTTTAACATTTTAATTTTCTAACATTTTACTCATGTTCATTTTTGAACAGCGCAGTCAATCAACGAAGAAGATAGAAGAAAATTTGCTTGCGACTCAAATTGACTCATGACAATATTTGGACAACAATATTTCGTATTCGGCGGCGGAATAAAATGAAATTTTACAAAAATTTTAAATTAATAACACTCTAGTACCAATTAAATTTTCTTTTCATTTATACTTTTTCGCAAAAAATTCCATAACAATTATTTATTCTTAATTTTTATTATGTAGGTATGTAAAGAACCATTTGAAGTAGAATATCCAAATTTAACGGAATTTGTGAAGGACATGAATAAAATGTGTAATATGATGGCTGATGGACCATTGTAAGTATAAATAACACAAATTTTTATAATTTTATCATAAACAAATAATTTTTTTGAAATACTGAAAAATTTAACAAATATTTACTTATATTTTCAGAAAATCATTTTGTTACCGCCGTTTAAGTTACTTACATTCTAAATATACACTACATGTACTATTAAATGAGCTTAGAGAATTAGCATCACAAAAAGCAGTACCTCATAGAGATTTTTATAATATTAGGTACGAAATAAGATAATTTTTCACTTTCTTTCTTTTAATAAATTTTATTATTACAGAAAAGTTGATACTCACATTCACGCTGCATCTTGTATGAATCAAAAACATTTATTACGTTTTATTAAGAAAACTTTAAAAAATAATGCTGATGAGGTTGTTACTGTTTCAAAAGGTGTGGCAATGACATTAGCTGATGTGTTTAAATCTATGAATTTAACAACATACGATCTAACTGTCGATATGTTAGATGTTCATGCAGATCGTAACACTTTCCATCGTTTTGATAAATTCAATGCCAAATATAATCCGATTGGTGAATCAAGATTACGTGAAGTATTTTTGAAAACAGATAATTATATTAATGGAAAATATTTTGCCCAAATAATTAAGGTAAACTAACTTTTATTTAAATTTTAAAAATAATATTATTTCGAGTATAAAGTCCATATTAAAAAGTAAAATGTAATTTATATTCAATAGGAAGTGGCTTTTGATTTGGAAGAATCAAAATATCAGAATTGTGAATTACGTTTGTCAATATATGGAAAATCTAGTGAAGAATGGAATAAACTAGCTAAATGGGCAATTACATATGATGTGTATTCAACAAATGTTCGCTGGTTAATACAAATACCTCGTTTATTGTAAGTATTTTAATTTAAAACTAATGTTTTTAGTTTTGTTAATTAAAATATAACTGCTTTCGATTTCAGTGATATCTTCAAAGCCAACAAAATAATGAATTCATTCCAAGAAATTCTTGATAATATTTTTTTGCCATTATTTGAAGCAACAAGTAATCCTCATAAGCATCCAGAATTACATAGATTTTTACAATATGTTATTGGATTTGATTCAGTAGATGATGAATCAAAACCGGAAAATCCACATTTCGATTCGGATATTTCAACGCCAAAAAATTGGACTGATGAAGATAATCCTCCTTATGCCTATTATATTTATTATATGTATGCAAATATGACGGTTTTAAATGCTTTCAGGAAGTATGTTTTATTTTAAACAAATTTTAAGATTTTTGCATGCTTATATAATTAAATTTTGTTTTATTTCGTTTTAGAAAACGAGGATTTAATACATTTGTATTAAGACCACATTGTGGTGAAGCTGGTCCAGTTCAGCATTTAGTTGCAGGATATTTAATGGCTGAAAATATTTCACATGGCTTATTACTTAGAAAAGTTCCAGTATTACAATATTTGTTTTATTTGGCACAAATAGGAATCGCTATGTCTCCATTATCTAATAATTCATTATTCTTGAACTATCATCGAAATCCATTGCCTGAGTATTTATCTAGGGGTTTAATTGTTTCTTTAAGTACTGACGATCCACTTCAATTCCATTTCACAAAAGTATGTTTTTAGAAATTTATTCATATACAATCCAAATTTCATATAATTTTAATATTTTAAAAATAGGAACCTCTCATGGAAGAATATAGTATCGCAACTCAAGTTTGGAAATTGAGTTCATGTGATATGTGTGAATTAGCTCGAAACAGTGTTATTATGAGTGGTTTTCCACATAAAGTATGTATAAAATCAATATATGTAATTTGTATTTCTTTATTTCATTTTTTAATAAATTTTGTTTTAAAATTTTAGATGAAACAACATTGGCTTGGACCAAATTATACAAAAGAGGGTGTCGCTGGTAACGATATAACTCGTACAAATGTGCCAGATATTAGAGTGGCTTATCGTTATGAAACATTATTGGATGAATTGTCAAATATATTCAAAGTTCATGAAAAAGCTGCTCAGAAATAAAAATTTAATTACTTAATAATATAGTTACTATATAATAATATATATTATGCTACAAAATAAAATTTTTGTTAAGGTTAAATTATATATTTTTAAAACAATAACTAAAAAAAAAACAAACCCTTTACTAGATTATGTAACCCATGTATTTTATCTTAAAAACAAGTATTCTTTTTTTCTAAATTTTATCTCTTTAAAAAATTCGTATAGCGTCTGTGACTTATTATAAAAGAAAATTTTTAAAATTTAATTGAATATACGAGACCAAAATTATTAAAATATGACTATTATTACTAATTATTATAGTTAAAAAATATAACGATATTGTACTTGTTTTTTTTGAATAAAACTTTGGTATAAAATTATATATAAAACAATTATGTACTGTTAATAAAAAACAAAGAAAAAGGCAAAAAATTTAAAAGCATTTTTAATTAAAATATACTTTACAAATGAAAAATTGTACTTCTTTGTACAAAAATTCATGCTGATGCTAAATTTTTATTATTTGGTATTGCAATATTTTCATAGTATTAGTAGAGTTTTGTCTTTTCAACTTAGTACATTAGCAGTTTTCCATTTTGCTTAATATTATCCCAGTAAGTGGTTTTTGGAGGTAAATTTTTTTCCCTTTTTCACTCCTTGGAACAGCATAGGGCTTGTGCATGATATCATAGATATTCATTTGTGTCAAAGAGATTTAACTAAGTAGGTGACTAGCCTGTTGTAGCTTTTTCTTAATATATATATATATATACATATATATATTTAAGGTTATTAGTACTTATTGATTATTTTCTTTTAGTTTTTATAATATGGGATATTAGAATATATGAAAATTACTTGTATACTAATTTTTTATTACATAAGTATTGTATTATATTAAACTATAATATTGAATATAATTTTTATAATGACCTGACCGGGCTTTGAACCCGCCCTTCGATTAAAGGACCATAGCCGTTGCACCAATGGTCAGGTAAAGCAATACATATAATCTATTAATCAAAAATTATAAATAGTTGATAATTGTAAATACATTAAAGATAGTTTTACTGAGTAACTATCATACTTCAACATTAATCTGATTTTTGTATTTCTTTTTTGATTCAATTAGCTTGTTCTGACCAAAATTTTGTTAGTTGGTTTAAATTTAAAAGGTGTCTTTAAATTTTAATTTTTGGATGGATCATTTGCTTTTGCATTTTTGAATTTTGAAAGGACAATGAATATTGGGACTATATTACTTAGTAATGTTTAGATATAATTAGGGGGCACATAAAAAGGAACAGAATATGTGACTATAACTCTATTTTTTATTATATGATTTAATTTCACCTCTTATACTTATCTATTAAAAGTAAAGTAAAATAAAAATATTTTGTTATAATTTCTATACATAATTTTATTTTTGGTTTTTGTAACATTTTTCTCTTCTTTGGTTGTTTTTCTTTACCAATATAATATTATTTTTTTGTATTTTGTTTTAATAAATTTATAATAAACATTTTGATCGTATTTACGGTTTAATTTTTCCTTTTTTTTTGTGATTTAATTTTATGAAGTTGGTTTTTCTTATGTTTTATTTCTAATTTCTTAAATATTATTAAAAATTAATACTTCTAAATTTTATGATTAATAAATACAATTACTTTTGAATTTTTTCTTTAATTAATTTTCATTTTTTGTTTTTCTATGTGCGGGATTCTCACTTAGTTTTTGAATTTGCTGTTTTTTTTTTATATTTATTTGTTCTAGGAAGTTCCAGTAGTAAAAAAATTTTTCTTTATCAAATACTTTTGCGAGAAATTATTAATTACTTCGAAAAAAAAAAATTATTATATTTTTATCTTCTTTGGCATAATCACAACGACTTTTTAAAATTCTTCTTTTAAACATGATTTTTTTCTTCATTATTAAAATAGAATAGAAAATGATTAGTAATTCCAAAATAAAAATTGCTGAACAAATCATTTACAATAAGACGGTATGTTCTGAATAAGATTTCAACTTATATTTTTGCTTTTATAAAAAAAGATTAACAGATTAAATAATTAAGAGAAATTTTAAAACAATTATAAATTCAAAATTTTGCATTTAATTTTACTACAATGTAGATTGTTTTATAAAAGTTATTCAAATAATTATTGTATTGTGAAACTTCTTAAATGTTCAATATTTATCACTTATAAGAACTACTCATAAGCTCTCATCAATTATAAGGACTACTCCGATATAATGAAGGTTATTTCGATAATTACATAAGTACAATGCAAAAAGCTATGTTTAAATTTTCTTCTTGTGATTTAACATTTTAACGAAATGTTTTAAAATATAAATTCAAAAATAAAGTCGAATACAAAAAAATTATAAGAAAAAGTCACTGGAATATGACCAAGAAATTATTATCGAAGAAGAATATTTTATGGTACCATGTTATTTGTATAAGTACTTTAAATATACATTTATTTTTTTTAGATAATATTCTTTATATGAATAATTTTGAATTATATATTTTTTAATATCAATTTTTTCTTGTTTTCTTTTTATTTGCATATTAAATATAATAATCTGTTCTACAATAAAAATAATAAATTAAAATTATTTTTAATAAATATTATTATAATAAATATAATTGGCTAGTTATACATGATATGTAAATACAAAATGTATATAATAAATATTTTGTTTTGTATTTTTTTCGATTTTTTCTTCTTTTTTTTCTGAGTTTTCCTGATTTTTTTGTTAATACATGTATAACTATTATTTATTTTATATAATGTTCCATTTTGAAGTTTACATACTTATTTTGTAGTACATATTTTTTTTTATATATAAAGTTTTGGAATTAAGAATCATTCTAGCTACAGTATAATATAATCATTATATTTGAAATGAAAATAAAATAAAAATACGAGAAGACAAGTAAATTTTATAATTAGAATGAAATAAAATTAAAAATTGTATTTTTAATTTAATCATTTTTTTTAAATGTTGTTCTTTTATTATCGATTTTTTTTTGTGTTTGTTTTTCTTTTATAATTATATTTAATATATATTTAATTATTTATTCATATAATATTTATATTATTTATATTTAGATATTTTATAAGATAAATTTTATTATGTTATTTTTAATATATTTTATAAGTACTTTTTGCTTATTTTTCTTTTCTACTAACACAACCAAAATTAACAGTCTTAAAATAGTTAAAAATTAAAACTTAAATCTAATTTTTAGACGATTTTTTTTTAATGCAAATTAGTTAAGCAAAAAATTTTTGTTATAATTAATAATTATTTTTGCTTTTTGTTTTTCTTTTCTAGCAACGATAAACTATAGCTAATATAAATATAAAAATCAGGATACATCGTTTTAAAACATAGGAAAAAAATAAGGATCCGAATTTGTTATTAATTGTTTTTTTATTTTTTTTTAATATAAATTTAATAGTTTAATATAAATATAATAAATTTATAATTTTTTTTAAGTTAAATCTTTATTTTCTTTTATATATAATAATACTTAAATTTAAATACTTTTTATTTAAAGTTGTGTGAAAAACAAAATGTATATTTTGTTCTTAAATTAATAAATTTGAAAAAAAGAATCTGTAAAGAAAAATCATAGAAAAATAATTGAGTTTTTTAATATGTATTATTCATTTTATGGTTTGTTTACTTTATACTAAGCTTAAGCATTTTGCAAAATTATTGCAAATGTACATATATATCGAAATGTATAATATATAATGATAGTTTTAATCGATTAGTTTATATTTTACTGCGTTATTTTTTAACATTTGATGTTTATAAAGTTGCCATTTCAGCTGAGTACGTATATAAACAAAAGTCTTTATACGGATTGCATTTTTTTTACCACATGTAATTTTTCTAATCAAATAGGATACGGATACATGCATAAAAAATGCTGCCCGAATAGAAGCGTGTTCGACTGTATATCAAAGTAACGCTACTGTAAATGAAATACTTTCGATTTTTTCGAAAATTACTTGTATATTTGCATTGCTTCATAAAGTTTTATTAAATATTTAAAAAGTGTAATTTCATTAATAGCATTAATTTCTATTAGAAATATCATAAAAATTGATATTTTTTATTTTAAAATTTCTATAATTAATGCACGCTTATTTTAAATTTTTTCCGTTTATATATGTACTTAGTTTTGAGTGTTACCTGAAAAATATTCACAATACGAGTATGTGGTTTGCACACACACAAATAGATAGTTGTAACAAATTTTAGTTGATAATCCAAGTGAGTAAATAACAAAATAATTATAAGAAAAACTTATTTCACACAACTTTTTAATTTACGTTTTTAATTTTTTTTTCTTTCTTTTCTTTTTAATTTTTTTTTAATTATTTTTTAATTTGATTTAATCATATTATTATTTTATATATAGTAATAACTTTTTACAACACATAACTTTACAATATTGTAATTAATTTATAATAATATAATTTTTATAAATCTATACATTGTAATAAATTTTTTATAACTAAATTATTAAATACATACATATTATTATTTATAAATATATTTTACAATTTTTCATTTATTTTTACCTTTTAATTGTTTCATATTTCTTCAATTAGTTGTTAAATTTGAGTCTAGGTCGATATTTTTGAATTTTATAGTTATATAATAATATTTTGTTTTATTTTTATTATAGTTTAAATATGTTTATAAATGTTTATCTCTCAATTCATTTTAAAAATATATTTTATATATTGTTTTCTTTACTTTTATTTCTAAATTTAAATACATTATTTTTTTTTTTGTTTTCATGCTTATAATCTTACTATTTTTTCTTTTTTTTACTTTTTGGTGTAGACGTTTTGTGAATTATTTTGTTAAATTTTAAATACGTTTTATTTTTTAATTGCATTTCAATTTATTTATTTTTGTAAAGCGATAAAGAATTTTAAAAAATTTATAATTTACGGAATTAAATATAATTAAATTTTGAAGTAAATTTAAATTTTGTAATATGATATTTTGTATATGCTATGCGAAAAAAATAACAGATTTTTATAAACGCATTTCTGCAAAGCAATCGATTGAAAAGGCAATATTGCAATATTGCAAACATAATGGGATATGCAATATATTTTTGACTACTCTCTAAAATCAGAACAGTTCATTAGGATTTAACTGCACTTCTTATAGTAATTTCGCAATAATTAATGAAATATTTATTATGGCCTATTAAATTTCTGCTTATTTGAAGGGTTGCTTTTTTTAATGTTTACTATACTTTCTTATTTAACAATTGTTTTAAGGTGGTGTAACCTGTGAAACACGTAATGAACACGCAAAATATTTTATTCATTTAAATTTTTTTGCTGAAATAGATGGCTATAATATTTTTGCAATTAAAATAATTGTCAGGCGTTTGATACTTGAAGTTTCAATAGTAGTTTTCATATTACTGCATACATAATATTAGCGTTTCATTTTCAAATTATTTTCGCCAACTGACCTTTCCATTCTCATAATTTTAAAAAAAATTTTTGACGTGATCTTTCAAAATTAAAAAATACAATATCAAACGTTAACATATTGAATATGATTAGATTTATTGATTTTACTTTCTTTTCAAAATTTGATATAGTATTCTTGCAGTATAAGGTAATAAAATAATAAAAAATATTATAGTTATTGAATCGTAATTGACTTCATTCCCTTAATTTTTTTAAATTAATTAATTTACTTGTATTAGCAATTAAAGTCAAAGGCCGAAAAAAAATAAATAGTAAATAAATTTCTTTTAATGCAATACATAAAAAATTTAGTAAATTAATTTCTGAAATGCAATTAAAGAAGTCTATGTAGAATAAAATATGAATTGTAAGAACTTTGTTTTTTTTTAAACGTTTCTAATTACAAAAGTTTTGCTTTTCAACTTTCATCTAAATCTACGTCTATATATAACTACATATATATTTATATATGTATATATGTGGATGAAATTTTATATTATATACATTTATAACTTGTATATGGCACGTTTATAATTTTATACTGTATAATACATAATTTTATTGATCTCTAATTTCTAGATTATTGTTTCTTCTATTTCGATTTTTATAAATTTTCGGTAAATTCTGTATATTCTTTTTTGTTTGTTTGTTTGTTTCGAGAATAAAAATAAATTTTAAAAATGTGTTTTTTTTCTTTTGTTTTTCTTCTTGTTAAATTATTCTGATATATAGATATACATTTAGTGTTTATAAAAAATTGAGCCTATATTTTTTTGGTTTTATAATATAAAGTCAAAGTCTTTGAAAGTGTTTCTTATATTTTGAATGGTTTTATGTAAACTTCGTATGTAAAAAAAAGTGTTAACCTATTACCTGCCATAGTCTTAAAATGGAGATCAAAAACCATCAAAAATTTTTTTAAAATTAGTTAATAGACAAATCTTTTTTTTTCTTTTGAATTTATTTAAAAAATAAAAAAAAATTATTTAAAAAAAAAAAATTGGCAGCTAATTGGTTAATAAAATATTTTAAATCCAAGATGCATTTTGTTAAGACATAATTAATACAGCATGTGATATTATGTATAAATATAAATATACTTGTATATGTGTGTTGTATAGAAATAATTTGAAATGCAATTCAGAGTTCATTAATACTATACTTATTAATGTTTTGTATAAAAATTTCTAAATATTAATTTTTGCAATTAAATACGTTATATAGTATAATAAATTTAAATTTGGTTTTGAATTTTTCGTGTTCTTTTGGAATGAATAATTAATTTATCTATATAATAATTTAAATGAGTATTTTTAGAATAATTATATTTTAATCATAATTGTGTGGTAATTTTGTATAGAATTAATAAAAGTTTTTATAATACATATATAGAACAAATAGAAAATTTTTTTTTGTTTGTTTGTAAATCAGTCAATATTATAAGATTGTATATAGTATAAACTATATTTGGGTGTTGTTTCTTGGTTTGTTTGCGAGATATTTTATACTTTAATTTCGATGATCATAATGTTTTACTATAAAATATGCTATCATTTTTAAATTTTTTATTAAATTCATTTCAATCTAAAATTATTTATATGGTTTTTTAAATTTTTTTTTTAAACAATATTTTTTTTATTGTTACTTGTTTTTTATATAGATAAAAATATGGTAATACACTAACCGTTATTATTGCTCCATTATTCTATATCAGCTATACTATCAGTTTATCTATGCTTTGAATTATTTAATAAAAAAATAAAATTAAATTTAAATTAATGAAAAATGGTAATTTTGCTCTTAATATTTTAATAAAATAAAATTGTCATTGAAAATTTTTTGATGTGGCATTATTCAGGACAATTGAGGTTCTCATTAGGTATTTATAGAATTTTAAATTTCACAAATAATTTTAATTTGGAAATAACAGAATAACTAATTTGCGGAACAGGATATTACAGGTTTATATTATTATTTGAAAACAAAAAGAAAATATTCATAAACGCAATACTGCAAAGCTATAACTGCAACATATTTTTAACCACATTAGACAATTCATATGATTTAAATTTAATTGCGCTACTCATTCTAATTTCCCTACATTGAGAGATTTTAGTAATTTATGAAAAAAATAGTGATATACTGCGTTTATGAAGAGGCCTATAATTTAAAGAATTGTTTTTTAATTATCTTGAAAAAAAATTAAAATTATTTAATTTAATTATAAAAATTATTTTAATTATATTTTCTTTTATATTGCATTTTAGAATCAATAAAATAAAAATTTCATCAAGTATAAAAATGAGAAATAAAAAAAAATTGTTATTAAAATTCTTTCACTAACTGATAGTATACATACATATGTATTTATTTTTTTTTACAAAAATTTGTCATTAATTTCGCTTTTTTTATAATAAAATGAAATATTTAATTTTCATAAAATTTTTTTTCTTTTGCTTTCTTCTTTAAAAATTTTTCTACTATTTTTCGAACATTTTTCGTTATGTAAATTGATTTTTAATACTGTTTCTTACATTTTAATATTAAAAATTTTATAATTTATACTACATAATAATGCTGTACTGGGTCTATTACATTTTTGGTTTAACATTCTGTAAAAAAAATTGTAGCAAATAATGATAAGCTCTTTATTTCATTTAAATTTTCATTTCGTATTTTAATGAAAAAAAATATTTCTTAATCATTTTTTAATCATCATTATAATTTTTAATTTATTTCTTTATTATTATTATTATTATTATTATTATTATTATTATTATTATTATTATTATTATTATTATTATTATTATTATTATTATTATTATTATTATTATTATTATTATTGTTATTATTATTGTTATTACTTTTTGAATGTCTTTATATTCAGACGGGTCCATTAATTTCATTTCTCAAAATTTTATTATAATATCTCATTTAATTGATTTTTTACTATTTTATATCTAAATATATTCCGTATTATATAACAAATAATTTTTTTTATTATTTGCATTTTGATTTTGAGTAATAAAAGTTTTTTTTTTTAAAAAGTATAAGAATCGGATAAATCTTATAATTTCGTTACAAAATACGGTATGAATTATAATGGCAATAAAATATATTATATATAAGACATTTTCATAAATGCGATACTGTTAAACAATAACGTGATGAATACTGTTAGCAGATAACGTGATAAATCGGCAATACATTTTGAACTACTCTATATAAAATCAAAGCAGTTCACATGATCTAACTGTGAAAATATGAATACTGTGCATATATTTTGAGTTTAATTTGAAAAATTTTATGTTAGTATAATAATAACTCAGTTCAAATGGTAAAAAAAAATTTTACAGTATTATGTGTGAACGTAATTTTCGAAATGAAACGATAATAGAAAAATTCATGTTCATTTGCATAATCAATTATGTATTTTAAAATTTTAATTTCAAAAATACAAATGCTCTCATATTTACCTGCCTTAAAATTTTAAATTTGGTATATTTAAAAAAAGTAAATGTTTAATAATAATCAATATTTATAATTGTGTAAGATTGTATTGATTGAAAATAAACATTAAGAATTTTAATTTTTAACATTAAAAATTTAATTTAGAATTGCCAATCATAATCTTACGTATATCGAATTATGTAACGCAATCACAAATTAAAAAGCAACTATAATGTAAGTTAAACATATTTTAATTTTGCAATATGTTATTATTCAAAGATATTCTGCTATTATATTTAATATATAATTTTATATGTATATAATTATTTATAATAATTAAAAATAAATTTTTTTAACTAAAGCTTAAAAATACAATAATATTATTTAAGTATATAAAAATTTACAATATTTAGTAATTTAAACAAAAAAAAAATATACGTTTTAATATTTTTCATTTTGTTTAAATTCTTTAATGATAATAATTTACAAATTTTATTCAATTTAATATATTTATATAAATTTTTTCTTTTTGATTTAATTAAATCGAAATTTTATAAAATTAATATTAATTTCATTGATTTGTTTTTTTTTTTTTTATTAATTATATTTTATTGAGTTTATTTTTTTTGTGTTAATTTGCGCAGCCTGTAGCGATTAATTGATAAAAAATTGTAAAATTTTGCTCAATATAATTTTTTAATTGTCACACGAAATTCAGCGTTTTTTTTACATTTGAATTTATTTTTTTATTTAATAAATTATTTTTTACAATTTAAATTAAATTGTTCTTATTTATTTTAATTTAATATTTCTTAATTATAATTTATTTTTAATTAAAAAAAAAAACAGATTGAATATAAGTATAACAAAAAACAAAAATGAAAAAAAAAAATAAATTAACAATTTTAATTTTAAATTTTTTAATATTTCAGCACATTTTCATTCGTTTCAATTAAATTTAATTAAAATATGTTATTATTAATTTTAAATTTAATTTTCTGTTTTGCATTCTAAAGTTCAGTCACAGCATAATTTGAATCATCATTTGGATTAATAGAAGTTCCAATTTGGCCAGCACTACCAGAACTAGGAACTGTAGCATTTTTGGCAGCATTGTTATTATTGTTTGTTGGTTTTAATTGTGTTGTTGTTAATTCATTTAAATCGGTTATAGGTGGTGGTGGTGTTGGTAATCTTTCATCATCATCATCATCATCATTATTTGAATTACCAGTACCACCAGCACTATTACTATTAATATTATTATCTTTTAATTTCATTGTGTTATTTTGATTATGTTGCATTGTTAAATTTGTTGTTGCTGCTACTGTTGTTGTTGATGATTGATTTGTATGCGTTGGTATTTGATTATTATTTATCAATTGATTTCCATTTACATTTGATTTATCTTTTAATGGAGGTGATGATACATTTGCATCTATTTTAGGTGGTGGTATTGCTTTGCCTGGTGGCGGTAATTTCATTGACGGTCTATTTAAAGTCCTAAAAATATATTCATATGAAAAAAATTTTTTAGTGATTTTAACATAAAAATCATATGTATGTAACAGTCCACGAATTTAATTATTTCTGTTAAATATTTTAAATATTATATGTTTATATGAATATGAATGTATAAGTAATATTAGAGGGAAATTTTGTGAAACACATATTTCACTTTTTATGTTACTAAAATTTTTAATTTAAAAACATATTTGAATTATATGCTTATTAAATTAAAAATTCGATAATGGAGAATTTAGTGCATATTAGGATAAGAGGTGAAGAGCATGCGTTTAAAATGTTTTAGTATTTCACTAAAAGTTTTTTTAAAATGCAATACATTCCATTCATGTTAAAAATTAAGAACACACACTATAGAAATATTATTTTGTACTAGGACAACTTTTGCCTAAACGCAAGCAAGCTCTTTCCAAAATTTATACATGTACTAGCAAGGTTAGGTTAGGTTAACGCGACGCCCGAAGGGTACTCATTGGCCACTCAGGCTCGTTATGGTACCGACTAATCTCGCCTATTCCGCCGCTCATTCGAACTCCTGTATGAGCAAGGATTATTTAAAAAATTATTGTGTGCTTTCGAAATACCGAACAACTAGAACAGTTGGTTGGATATACTTAAATTTATAAAATATTTTTCATATTGAATCTTAAAAATGTTAAATTGAATATTATAATTTATTTTTGAACCTATAATTTTTGAAAGGTTTCACTTTAAATTAACTTTGAAATTGAAAAATTCTCCGAAAAATTTATTTTTGTACACATATATGAATACTTTCGTATACATTATGTATGTAGATATTTCAAAAAACGCAATTTATATTTATTTGTAAACAAAGTAATGTAATCAAGGAGATACCACCCAAGTATTTTTAAGAAACTCACATATGTTTTACAGATTTTTCAATCATTTTCTTTTTTGTACAATCTAGTCATGTGGTTAATACAGTCTATTTATAGATCGAAACCTTTTTCAGAATTTATTATTTGCTTTCCATCTATTTTTAAATATTAATTTGTTTTCAAAAATTTTGTTGAAAGATAACTAATACATTTAAGAATTTATTATGTTGTTGTTAATAACATGAAGGTCAAAATGCAGAAGTAAAAAAGGACTTACAAGCACAAAAAAAATCTTCTTTTTTTGGATATATTTGTACTTACTTTGAATAATTATTGGCAGTACTATGTTCATTAGACGAATTTTCTTTTTTAGAATTCGGTGGATCTGCATCTTTTGGTATTTCTGGCAGTGGACAATTTAATATTGATGGTTTATATTTTGGATCAAATTTTCCACCTTGCCTTAATGTTGAACATCTATAAATTTGTTTGTCTCGTTCAAACATAGCGCTATCAACTGCATTTGAACTAGGTATAGCAGTCTCTGGTGATATTGCTGCTTTTAATTGTTGCTGCTGTTGGTATATACTTTGTGGTTGCTGTTGTTGTCTTTTCATTGTTGATGAAACGTATATACCAGTTGATGATGAATTTGAATATGGTGGACCACTTGGGGGATAATGATTTGGTGGTCCTATTGATGTTGGTATTGATGATGATTGTGGGGGTGCTGTCATGGCTGGTATTTGTTGATAAATTGATTGATTATTTGCATTATTATAATGTTGAGCATATAATTGTTGCTGTTGTTGAAGATGATATTGAGCGTGCTGTTGATGATGTGCATGGTGACAATATATTGGTTGAGGAGGTCTACCACCTCCTTGTGATGTCAGAGCTTCGCTACAGGCTGGTGATTTTCAGTAAAAATCATTTGCTTCCAGTGTTTTGCATTGTTTACTTAGAGTGGCATATTTTCCATTATTTGGGCCTAAAAATAATTTCCGAGGTTAAAACACTTTCTTTTATGTTTTATTTAATGGGTAAATGATTAATATTATGTGTTATAGAAAGCAGAGGTGTACGTATTACATATATTAAAAAATATATGTAAATGTAAAAATCGGATAGTAACCTGGAAGGTGATTGGGGCTATGATTATGAGATGGTAACCTGCCTAATGTATGGGTTCCCATATTTCTCATAGCTTGTTGTTGTGCTGGATGTATATGTCCGTGTCCCATCATGTCCATTTGCTGCCTTTTTGATGGGTGCTGTAATGTATGTGCTCCACTTATAACTGGTGGACTAAAGTGTCTGGAATAAAAGGAGTATATATTAAAATTTTAAGGACACAATAACTGTAGTAAATTTTATACCCATTGTGATTTCTTGGTAACGTTCGTGCATTCATTTGCTGATGATTTTGGGGGGCTGGGTTAGATATATAAGATGGCTCTTCGACTTGAGCATAATCAGTTCTTTTTCGAATATATATCCAAGTGTGTGAATCAACCCACACCATAATTGTCAATAAAATGGCAGCAATAAAACTAGCAATCAACATTAGAACTAATCCTAATAAACCACCCTCACATAAACCACGTGCAGCATTCAAATAATTGTGATGAACAGCTTTACAATCGACTAATGCTGTAAGCTGTGTTAATAATCTTTCACTGTTATTTAAATCTGCAACAACGGCACCTAATTTCGGTTGCAATCCTGCTGATTTAAAAAGACTTAAGGATATTTTTGACACCATTAGCATTGCAATGCGGGCGTTATTGATTGCATTTTGGGATTCGCGAAGTCTTTGTGTAAATGGATTTGTGTGACCTGGTTCACATTGAGTATAATGAAGTAGTACATTTATTGGTAAAGCTTTTGGTGATGTTGATGCTAGAAAAGCTGAAGGATTAATGCATAAATCTCCAACAGCAACAGATGTGGATAAGTATAAACCAGACATTAACCAGGATCCGGTAACAGCTAAAAGACCACATACACTAAATAATATTAGAGCACATCGTGAGTGTCTAGCAACGCCAACTAAAAGAACCGCACAAAGAACTAAAAGTAATGCTAAAACAGCAACTGTTCCAGGCCAACGAATCAGTTCATATTGATCACCTTTCTGTAATTGATTAAAATTTTTATTATAATTTTGAAATAATTTGAAATTTTTTATTTTACCGCAAGAAAACCGGTAATTGAAATTCCCATTAATGGCCGTCTTATATCACCAGCAGCATTTGTCGCTAATGTTACATTTCCTTGTGCATAATTAAGTGAATAAATTAATGTTTGCATTGCTGTATCATTTGATACAGGTTGATCAAAAATATCTGCGAATTCTACCAATTGAGGCCGGATTCGATTCGTTAATGTATTTTCAAGTATATGAGTCTGGTTTCGTACTGTATTTACAATATTATCAACTTTCCGTCCTGATTGTAGAACTTCTAGCAGACCATTATGTAAATCATCATTACCATATAACCCTGTTATAATTAATAAATGTAATTTTAATTAATGACTATATAGCTTACATTTAAATGTAATATTATTATTGTAACTTAATGTTTATATAAAAAAAATATGTAAATTTAATTAGTGATCATATTGTACCCAGTATACTAGGAGGGTTTTTACAAATATTGGGAAATATTTATTTAATTTTCACTTTAACTTTTTCAGCTAAACATTTTAGAATTCCCAAATTGCGTTCAAAAATAGAAAAATTTATGAATTAAAAAAAGGATTTTTTTAATTCTTCTTTACTCTTTTTCCACTTAAAATTTTCCTTTTTCTGTATAAAGATGTTATTATAACTTTCTTCAACCTAAATAATCTTAGGTCATGCTTAATTGATCTTAATAACTAGATTAATGTCTAAAATACAAGTAAACACCTTTATACATGTATATATTAACCTATATAATATATATTTGTTTATACAGTATGTACTCATAAACTTGATGCTCCCTAAGTATGGTTATCTTCTTTAATATATTTATTTAAGTCTATTAACAATATACAAAAGTAAAATATATCGTGAAATAGGAAACTGATAACTGATAAAAAAAACAATATTCATAAATTAAAAAAGGGATATATAGCACATATATATAAATATTGAAGACACACAATATGGCAAATATATATATACATGTATATGTATGTTAAAGGCGCGGTAAAAGATTTTCTTTTGAATTGATAAGCCTTTTTAGTATCTGTCGATTTCGGGCAATTTAATTGTTGAAATCTTACAACATAGATTAAACAAAATTTTATTTTAATCAATTTTTACATATTTTGTATATTTCCTTAACTCTTAGTACAAATTTGACTTTCAGAATAACAGTACTGAACTTGTATACTATAGAGAAATAGAAGTACTTGTCCTAAAGTGGTTGAACTATATTTTGCGTGTATTAATTTTTCATTAAGAAATCTTAAATTATTTTAAAAAATTAACTAACTTTAATAATTAATACAAAATTATAAAATTAGAATTAATTATAATTTTCAAAATATTTTAGTGTTAATTTTCGTTAATTTAGTTAATTTATTAGCATTGAAAATTGTGTGCCTATTGTATTATCTGTACTCTTGTTTCTGAGAAATTAATAAATGAAAATATTATTTATAAATATTTTCATTTATAGGTGAAATATGTATATATATACCGCCGATAGTGGATTAAATTTGATATTATTATAGAAAGTGTTTAATTTAATATGAGGAATTGCAAATGCGAAAGCATTATGAACTCGGTCGAATATTGCCAAATTTTGAACTCGATTAAATGATTTCAATCAAAAGAGTTTTGATATAATTTCAAGGTGTTCTCAAAGAGAACTACAGTGGTAGGATAAATACGTTTGCATATTTTAAAAATAATTAATTAGGGTTTAGTACAACAATTTGCCAAATTTTGTATTACTATAGTCATAGCTTGCTATAATTTTTTGATACTGCTAAATTTATTTCATATAATTGCATACAATTAAAATATAATTTCAAATATATTATAATTTTTTTAAAAAATTTCTTGAAAATTTTGGTATTTTTTGGTATGCTAAATCACGGATGAAAATATTTCGTTTAAATTTAAATTTCTTTAAATAGAAAAACACTTTTTCAAAATTACAAAAAAATTAGTAAATGTTTTTATTTAAATTTCATTAAAATTAGAATTAATTATAATTTTCAAAATATTTTAGTGTTAATTTTCGTTAATTTAGTTATTCAAATGTTAAACAAAGATTGCCCTACTCAAATTTACAAAACAAAAAACAAAATGAAAAAAGACGGAAGAAAAAGTTTTTTTTTTTTGGGTTAAAAATTATTTTGACAAGAAAAATAGAAAATTCGCTTTTTATCGTGATGGATAAAAATTATGATAAACAAAAGTCAGTTAAGTAATCTATTTAAAAATATTAATTAAAAAATATTTTACAAAGAAAGTACATACATACATACCATGGGTACATACTACTTATGTACATATGTATACATAAAAGAATAAATAATTTAATAATTTAAAAAAGGAGGAATAGAACGTTCTTTAAAAAACGAAAGAGAAGATTCAATTAAGGGATTTATATTGCAAGCAAGGAAAAAGCATCAAGTTAAATGGATGATAAAATTTGGATTATTTCTGATTATTATATTATATTTTGCAATTAATATTTTAAAATATAATGAAGGAAAGTGCTCAGTAATAAGTGAGTATAGTTATATATAGATTCCTTAAAGAACAGAGTGCTTTCAATCGGTAATCTATAATCATGGAAGCAATGGCTACCTTACTCCGCAAAATGGTTGTAGTAAAGTAATTAAATTTAGTAAGTTCACTAATCCAAATGATTATGGAATGTACATATGAATATATACGGAATAAAAACGATGTATAAACTAATGTTAAAAATGTATGTTCACATTAAATATATTTATAACAATCATTGCTTCCTTGTTGAAGAACCTTCTTATTTTGATATTGTAAGATAATGAGCATTTTTAAGACTTTGAAGGATTTTATATTAAAATAATGGAAGCATATTCTTAGGTTGTGGCGAATTTACAAATTTGGTGAATGCGCAAGTTTTAGGCATTATGTGTAACGAATATAAAATTACTCGACAGCTCTTTTACGCAAGTTTTTTTTTAGAATATACACAGTTAAAATCTTGTTTTTAATGCTTACTACAATAATTGTAGGGACGGAAATTTAATTTTGGAATATAGTTGAAAAACTATGAACCCTATATTATAAAGAATATTAATATAGTTCAAACTATTACATTTTGCATGTATATAATAGGAGGTTAAGGTAATTGAGATCTTTGAAACACTTAATCAATTAATTAAAATCAATTTTCCTTTTATGATTTTTTAATTTTTTTTTGTTGCGAAGGTGATTATCGATATTTAAGAGAAAAAAAGAGAGGTTCAAATAAAATTTTGTTGAAAAGTATTAAAATTTGTCATATGTATATGTATGTACATATGTATGTATGTGTTGTAAATGGAGATAAGCAAATATGTGTGAGTTCAATTAATTTTAAATTTTTTGAAAGAAATATGAAAATTACGTGTTGAATAAAGAATGTTGTAAATTGTAATAAAAACCTTCTATTATATATGAAAAGGTTCAATTAAATTTTTTTCTATCAAAAAAAAGAAATAAAAAGACAATAAAATTTATAAAAATTTTTGTTTAAATTCAATCAAAAAACGGAAAATATGAAATTCAGATAAACTTTGAAAAGGGATAAAAGTTTTTAAGAAAAAGATTGAAATTTTTACGTGCAAAATTTATTCTATGGAATGTTAAATAAAAGGAAATTAAAGTTGACGATGAAAGCTGCTAAAAATGCAAAGCTTCAGTTTTATTATGGCTTAAGCTTGTTTCTTAATAATTTTTTCGCTTTGTTTGAAATTTCAGGTTGAATTCTTATTGATTTTCATTTTCTGAATGTGGGAAACAATATCTTTGCAAAGTTCTTATTCAGAGGAAAATGTTTGCTGTACAAAGTAAAAGCGGGATCTTAGAAGGTTGTAAGGCAATAATTTAAAAATGCTATAGTCTCTTATTTCTTTTTTAAGGTTGGGGAACTAGAAATCTTGACTAATGTTCGGAGCACATCTTATATGTATTTGCAAAAGTAATAAATCTTTTCAAAATTATAAACACTAACAGTATTGAATTACTGTTAGTTAGTCTTAATGTTAAAATCTAAATAATTAAATACACGACTTTATAAATGTTACTGTCACGCATTTAAAAAATTTAATTAAATTTCTCAATTACATGCATTTAAAAAATTTAATTAAATTTCTCAATTACAACTTTTATAAAATATTTATTACGTAAATTTATATAGATTTATACTTTCACACAAAAAAATAACTTACCCAATCCGATAGCAGCACAACACATTACAGTAACTACACTTAATGTAACTTTTAAACTTGTTATTGAATGTGCCGGTCTAGGTTTTCTATCACAACATCTTGTCATTAAATATAATAAAAGACCTAAAAGTGATACTATTAATAGTGCTGCTGGAGCTGATCCAAGTAATCCAAGACTCTAAAATAATAATGAAATATAAATGAAAATTATTATTAATAGTTTAAATTTTTCAACATTTATTTATGTAAACAGTATGTCAATTGTGTCTAAATAATGTTTAATAACATTTTCTCTAACTTCGAAATTATATTGATACCGTATTAATACATTGTTCAAATTTTACGTGCTCGTTGTAGGAAGTATAACGATACGGTATTACTAAAATTTCGTTGTCAGAATTAATGAAATTTAAACCAATTAATTCTATAGAAAATAAGATATGAAATTATAAAAAAAAACTTTAAGAAAAAATTCAGCTTGTACCTTACTTAAGTATTTTAATTATAAATTGTTAATTATATCCTTTTAAAAAAAGGAACATTTTTTTTGCTTATAGAAAAGAATTCACATGCAATATTTCTTAGAAATGACCCACTTGCTTATAAAAAACATAAAATTAACTTAAAAAAATTAACAAAATCAATTTTTTATATTAAATATTTGATTTTCTAATTCAACAAAAATATAACCCCCAAATATATGCAAAAAAAAACTTAAGCAAAATTTTCCCAAACTTATAGGTTTGATTTTTAAATGAGTACCTTGATCAAAGAAATAATATTAAGGATGATTCTACTCTGATTTTTCTTTTGTTTTAATGTTCGATTCGATTATTAAAAAATTTAAACATAGAAAATTTTCGTATAATTTATTGCTGTAAATAATTATTTTCAATTTTATTTCTATAAGAATATTTTAATATTTTATAAATATGAGCATATTTAAAATTAATTGACAAAATATTTACAAATCAAGTAGCTATCATCAAAATATCAGTAATGAAATTAAAAAGAGAAAAATGAAAATAAAAGAAAATATAAATTGAAACTCACCTCCAAATAAACTTCATCTGTTGGCCTAAATGTGTTATTGATTTTATGAAATGTAATATTGTAATGGGGTAATGCATGAAGTAGCTTGGCTATCACAGGCACTCTATATTGGTCGTTATATTCCGCGTATTCATTCATTTCGAACTATTTCGTTTTTTTTTTTAATTTTATTTTTATTTTTCTTATTTATATTTACTTGTTATAAAGTCCTCTTTTTTAAATTGTTATATATGTATTATATGTATAAATGTATATGTATATTAATTTAATTTAATTTATTTTTTTTTATTTATTTTTCTCTCCTTTTATATATGTATATTTCTGATTTAATTTTATTTTTCAACGTTCCGTTCTTTTTTCTCCCTTTCGACGATAGATTGGGTAATGATCGGAGAAGGCGGGAAGGGAGTGTGTAGTATGGTAAAGTCCGTAGTGGAAATCAAATAAAAATAAATTGTAATATTTACATCGAATATTATTTTTATTATAATTGTTATTATTATTCAAATTGAGCAAATATTATACTTTGTTTATACATACATATGTACATATATATGAATATTATAGAAATTAATATACACATATAATATATGTGTTTATGTGTATATACAATCAGTTATTATTATTATTATCAATACTCAGCATTCAATTAAATGTAAATATCCTGTTGAATCATAAAATTCTTAACGTCTACACTAAATTTTTATTTTTTTTTTTGTTGAATTTGTTATAAATTTTTCCTTTTTCTGTTATAATTTTTATTATTATTTGATTTACTTATTATAAATTTTTAATATTTTGTTGTATACAGGGGGATTCTTAATTAAAATTGTTAATGAAGTGATTTTTAGAATGAAGAGTTTTTATAATGAATGGTAATTGTTAATGAGTAGCAAAATAAGTGAAATTACAAAATAATGTTATCCTAGACGACATGTAAGCGTCATTGATGTCTTTTTTACTTTGTTGTGTATTGGATTCGTTTTTTTTTTTAAATATAAAATTTCAATTATCTTTTGTAGCTCTTTTTATTCCTGTTTTTGTCTATTATTATTTTAATGTTGAACCCCAACGTAAAATAGCAAACGAAATAAAAAAACAAAAAATAGGGAGAAGAAAAGGAATAAAATTAAAAAAATGAACACGTAAATGATTGCTGGTTATTTTTTATTTCAGTCCGTCTTTAATAAAAAAAAGAATGATGGATGCATTTTTAAATTGTTTTTTCGTTTTTTATGTTCGTCTTTTTGTAGAAAATATTGAGAAAAAGTATGAAAATATATGATGAAAGAGAATAAAATTTTGAATTTTCTTCTTATTTACGAAAAATTGGAAGAAAATTTGCTATCCTGATGCACTTTTAAACTGTTTTATAATGCAATAAAAATTTCAGTTTCTTATCTAGATTCTTCACATACAAACGCCTAAATGTGTATCCTTTTATATTATATTACAGTTATATTTATATTGCGGTTCTTTGTGCACAGCTTTTAAGCAGCAATTTCTGAAGTCCTTTTTTTTATATAAAAATACTGGTTGCTTACTTTAATCAACTTTCTTTTTTTTTCTTCTTCTTCTTCTGCTTCTTGTTGTCTCACAAAATAGAGTGTTGGCCTAAATAAAAAGAAAAAAAGAAGAAAGGTTGTAAAATTAAAAATTTATTTTATTTTTTTGCGAATAAGATTTTTAAATAGATGAGAAGATTAAAAGAAAAATTTTATATAAAATGTTTGTATGTACTTATATTGTAAGTATAATAGTAGTACATATAAATGTATATGTATAAAATGAATATTTTAATGTGCACATATTTAAAAAAAAGGGAATAAATGAATACAAAATAAAAAAAAGGAAAAATAATGAAATTCCGCATTCCTAACTGTAAAATGTATGTATGAATGCACATAAATATATAACTTAACATACAAACAAAATGTTTTTAAAAATTAGATATTGTAAAAATATACTAAATTAATTAGCGTCCAATTGGAAGAAAAAATGTTTTACTCATTGAAATTATTTCTTAGTGAATTATTTTTGTTAGGTGACCAGTTTAAAGTTTCATATTTGACAATTCCACATTTAATTATAGATCAAATTCAAATACAATTTATAATTTAATAACGGAAAGTTTTATTAATTCTCAGCAACTTTAAAGCTATGCTAATGAATGAAAAATAACGCGAAACTGCCACACATTATGTAACATACACTTCATAATTTCCAATAATGACAACTAATATCATAATAAACAATAATGATTACAAGACAAGAATTTTCAATAATAAGAAGAACTATAAATTTAGTACAATATCTATATATGATAATATCTGAACCCCTAACTGACATAGCGAATTCCTAATTTATCAAATTAATAGTATTGGAAATTCTAATTGAATTTCGTTGAAAATTTTACATGTCCCAGAGGAGTTACCGCAGTTTTTTTAGCATGGGACTAATTAATAAACACATTAAAATATTTAAGTCAATTTGTTTTGCGTTGTAACGAAAACATTATTTAGTTCATAATTCTTTAACTATAACTTACTTTTCGACACAATTGTAGAATAAAAAAAAAAAAATTAAAACAAAAAAAAAATGAAATGTAAAGATTGTTTCCAAAAAATATTCTCGTTTTAACTTAATTTTTTTTTTTCAAATGGTGTAGATCCTTTCAAGTTCGAATATCAACTAAAATCTAAGCTCAACAAAATTAGAATTGAACCTCAATGCTGTTATACAACACAATTATTTTAACAATTTTTTCTTGTTGTCGTTTAAAATTTTAGTCAATTCCTAATAAAATTGATAAATTTTCACTGTAACGACATTCGTAGGCAACACAATTTTAATTTAAAACTTCAACATTGTACTAAAATTAATTTAAATTTATTTAATAGATTTTACGCAGTTTATTTATTCAGTTTCTTAAATGATTGAATTAATTTTGAATGAATTCAATTACAATACCCTTACAGTATGAAAATTTAAACAATATTTCTATTTTTCTATATTTTCAAAATTGGAACGTTATTCAATTTAAAATTTACAAACATATACAATTAATGTACATCTATATTAAAGTTAATAAGAATCCTTTAATGTAAATAAAATTTTATGGACACTAATTAATTGGAATCAATTTAATGTGGTCATGTGAAACATGAGCTTAAAAAAAATAATATTATTCTTAAAATTAGAATTTCTGGGATAACATTTTAAAAGAAGACATTATGTAATACGTGTATATGTGTATGTACGTGCAAAAAGGTATACAAGGATCGTTGAGCACTTAAATGCTTGCATAAAATAAAAAAAAAGAGAAATTCAGAAATGAAATAAAAAAAAAAGAAAAAAAAAAATATTGAAGGCTGGAGAGCTAAAGTTTTGTACCCAATTCTCATTTTTTTTCAACTGTTTGCATTGGAGTAGACCATAAAATAATAAAATAAAAATTTACAATCCAAGCAAAAGAAACACATATTTGATGTATAAGAGCACATATACAGATACACAATATGTATATGAAAAGTACATATTAACATACAATACAGAGCACATACGACATGTTGAAAATGAAAAAAAAAGGACATGTAATATGAAAAGAAAAAATAAAAAGTAAAGAAAATCACAACAAGAAAAAACCCCGGTAGCTTTTATGCACGTTCTTGTAACAAATATAAAGTCGCTTTTATCTCACCTCTCTCCTATTTTTATTTTTTTTTCTGTTTGCTTTTTATTTCCTCTCCCATTTACATGTTTTATTGATTTTAAGAAGGTATGACCTGTAAAAACAAGTGTAATTGGAATTGAAGTACAGTTGTTGTTGTTGTCGTTGCTTTTGTTGTTCTTAAATTTTTATTTTTGTTTAGTTATTTTCTGTTTGCTTACTCTTACAAAATTCTAGTAACAAAACACTCGTAAAATGTTACACTAAAGAAAGAATAACAAAAAAAAAGGAAATTGGCAAAAAACTGGCATAATAAGGTTTGGTTTGGTTTTTTTTTACCAATAACAAACATGAAACGTAAAAAGGGTTAGGACTATTCTTTTTTACGAGAAAATTGTAATTTAAGTGGTTTTTTCTTTGTTGGTTTATCCATTTTTTTTTTTTACAAAAAAGTGCAAGGTGTTTCAATTAAAGTGATTAACTTTTCAGCCTCATCAGGATAATCAAAATAAATAAAAGAAATTTCAGAAATGCACTTAGATTTTGGAAAATTTATTCTTTTCCAGTTCAAAACCGAAAAACAATACTAATTTCATATTCATTTTCAGCATGTCTTCAAAAGATTTATAATGCGTCACTTGATGTTTTTAATAAAAGCATTATTTCTCTAGAGTTAACTGTTTTTGCATTCCCCGTCACCGGCGATTAGTAGCTGTCGTAAGACGTCAAAACTAAGATGTCCTCAACTAGGATAAATCTTTGACGAATTAGAAAGCCCAAACCAAAAATAATTTCAACCAAAGGTAAATTCTCAAGACGCAAAAAGTTCCTGAATTACTTCTTCGAACGTAGAACAACATAAAGAAACTTCAGGCAATCGAATCTGAACCAATGTTTCATTAATTTTCAAATTCTCTACATTTCTAATGCAATAGCATTTCATTGATTTCAAAGACTTTTCTATAGCTTCGAATGATAAGCATGCATAAAGGATTTTTTAAATCCTTTATATGCCGTATTATACATATTTCATATATAAAATAAATTTTCCAGATTGCCAAATAAATATAGCAAATATTACGGGATATGTATGTGTGCATGTATTTTCTTTGGTGATTTGACACAAATAATAGGTGTTTTGTGCAGTATGTGTTGAAAACTACAAATTATATTTTAATATTTTGCTTTTTCTTTTATACTTGAATAGAAAACTAATTGAAAGTAAGAGAATAAGAGAAATAAATTTCAATCATACCGTTATGTTGCAATTTTTTTAAATAAACCTTATTATAACAATGTGGGTATTACAATTGATCACTATTATGACTCATCGAAAATTACCAATTAGTGTTTACATTCATTTTCATGCTTTAATGTTGTTTGTTTTTTTCCCACCATATTAAATACAGTGAGGGAGATTATTGCCTTCTAAGTTTTTCATATTATGTGTGAGTAAGAAAATTTTTTATGATTATTTACCTTTTTTATATATATACATATATATGAGACAATTTTCATGGAAAATATTTTAGAATCAACAAAATAAGTTAAGGTTTAATTTTCTTAAGAAATTAATTTTAGATAAGTGGCTGATTTGTCATATCAACGTTGCATCAATGATTAGATGCTGCGATGTTGTATCATTGATTATGGCTACAAAACGTGGAGATACTAAGATCTTTATTCTTTCAAAATCGACTCAGATGCTGTTTTAAAATCCATTTAGAGTTTATTATTTTTTAATTAAGTTTTTAAAAGACAAATTTACCACATTAGCTAGAACATAATAATTGTTATAAGCAAATCAAAATAGAATTGAGTAATTCTTTATTTTCTACCATCTTATTTTTAATATCGTATTTTTATTAGAATTGGCATCCTTGTTAAGATTTAGTTTTTAAAGTTACGTAACATTCAAGGCAAAGTAACAAAACTGTCAAGCATTGCAACATATGCAACTTTTATAATATGAATACTCCCTGTAGAGTTAATTTAAATATTCGCCTTGCTGAACACCTTTTACATAATATATGAACAAATGTGCAATATAGTACTGGCCACGTAAATATGTTGCTTAAAGGTCATTGTTTTAATATACACATACATTTTATATGGAAATTTTAAATTGGATTATAAAAATAAAATAATAAAATAAATTTTACATTGCCTATTACCAATACACAAGGAGTAACTAAATATTTATATATACATACATATTATATTGATTTAGGTTTGACTGCATATATACAGCATATACATCCATATAAAATTTAAGTATTAACATTTTATAGCGGCATTTAAATTTAAATGTATTTCGGATCATCTAAAGTTGAGTTTTTTGTTTAGGATTATTTGAAATATAAGATGGTATAATATGTATTCCTTGAAATTCTAATAATATTCAATGATGTATGTGAGAAGGTTACAAAACCCATTACGAGTACTATGAGCTTTTGTACATAAATTAAATATATCCGCATGATCTAATTACTTAATTTAAAATGCAATTATCTTTATAATTTTTATTTATGCAATGACTTTGTTCAAAGAAATTATTTTGTTAATATTATAGAAAAAATAGTGTTAAAATCCAAAGTTGAAATTTCCAGTTCCTTAAAAGGATTAAATTATTTTTATACTACATGTCTTGTAGACATAAAGAACTATTAAAGGCGATAGGAAGCCATTAAATTGAAATGAGAATCAACATGTGCATCCGTTTAAAAAAATGTTTTTTTTACTTGTGTGTTTTTTGTATTATTCTTGTGAATACTTGCATATAGTTAAGTTGTAAGTACTAACAAGTTTCTGTAATTGAATTTTATTTCCCTTTTTAAATATTTTTCATAAAAACTCTATTGTTTATGTTCTTAGTATATGAATTAAGTGTATATAATAATTATTGTAAGGAATGAACTCCTGTTAAAAACATTAGTAAAAGCAT